ACACACCATTCACACGCAAATGCACTCGCACACGCATACTCGTACAAACAGACGGCAGGATGTCGTGCAAAGTGAATTTGCACCCAACACACTCCCCCTCAGCCTGCCGGCTGCATTCCCATCATTCCATGCTAGTTCATGCTCATTCCACTCATGCGCACACAACGCCAATGAGGCTCATCCGCAAGCCTCTTGGTGAGAAATTCTGCTGGCTGCTGGTGAGTCTTGATGTAGATCGGATTCACAGTCCCCCTCTTCACCTCCTTACGCAGCCAGTGCCATTTGATACGCATGTGCTTGTTCAGCCCATGAAGCACAGCGTTCCTGGCCATCCCAAGAGCCCCTTTGCTGTCACAAAACAGCGGCGTAGCGACCTTCTGCTCCTGGCCAATCTCCTCTAACAGCCTCTTCAGCCAAATCACCTCCTTCACCCCGTGGAACATCGCCATGTACTCTGATTCCACAGAGGAGAGTGCCGTCTCCGTCTGCTTCTTGGACCTCCAACTAACAGGTCCTCCCCCAACTACGCAGATGTATCCTCCCACAGATAAGGAATCCTCCTTCTCAGAAGCCCATGTAGCATCGGTAAAGCAAGTCAGAAACATCTTGCCTTCTCCAAGCCACTCCCCCTTCTCCTTCAGCACCTCAACCCCCTTCTGCTTCACCTGTGCAGATGCGGAGTATTGGACCCCAATGGTTGGGTGAGAGTTCAAATACTTCACCACGCGCTCAGCTGCATCCACCTGCTCCTCTGATGGATTCTGCACCACCCTGGCCAGCTGCCCAACCGAGAAAGAGATGTCGGGCCTCGTGTGAACAGCTGCATACAAGAGGCTGCCCACCAAGGACTGAAATTGCTGCTGCTCTTCAGCTTCAACCCCTTCATCCTCTGCAGCCTTCACAAGTTTGAATTCTGCTGGCAGGGGAGTTGCAACCTTGCGCTCATTCTCAATCCCACACTTCTCCCCCAGCTCCTTGATGAACTTCTCCTGGTGCAGCTTCAACCACCTGTGATCCAGATCCCTCTCCATGTGCATCCCGAGGTAGTACTTTACCTCCCCAAGGTTCTTGCACTTGAAGTTCTCCATCAGCTGCTGCTGCACTTTCTGGATCTCCTTCATGCTGCTGCTGAAGAGAAGAATGTCATCCACGTAGACCAGAAACAACACCAGCTCCTCCCCCTCCTCCTTGAGAAAGAGGCTCTCATCACAGCTGCTGGTCCTGAACCCTATCTCCTCTAAAACAGCTGCCAGCTTCTGGTACCAGCAGCGTGGCGCCTGCTTCAAGCCGTAGATAGACTTTTTCAGCTTGCACACCCTGCCCGTACCATTCTCATACCCAGGCGGCTGCGTCATGAACACCTCCTCCTCTAAAATCCCGTTGAGGAATGCCGTTGATATATCCATCTGGATAATGAATTTCCCACTAACGGCTGCATCTGCCAACAAGACACGAAGGGTAGGGGGTTTGGCAGTGGGAGCAAAGATCTCATTGAAGTCCCGCTTCTCCTTCTGCATAAATCCCTTAGCCACCAACCTACTCTTGTAGATGGTGACCTGCCCCTTGTCATCAGTCTTGATCCTTAGCACCCACTTGCATTGTACCGCTTTCTTTCCCTCAGGCAGCACCACTAGTTCCCAAGTCCCATTCTCCAGCAGGCTCTGGTACTCAGCATCCCTAGAAGCCAGCCACTTGTCCCTATCTGGTCCAGCTAATGCCTCCTCCATGCTAGCTGGTTCCTCTGGTGCAGGGGCGATAAAACAGTAGGCAGGTTCATCCTCCTCATCCGGGTCATAGCCATGAGGTAGAATCAGCATTGCCTCCTCGGTCCCAAGCTGCTGCTCCGCTACACCTGATCCTGCAGTCAGCTTCTTAGTAGCCATACGGGTACGTCCTGGCCTGGAGACGGGTGTCTCCCATCCCTTCATAACTACACCCTTCGGCTTCTTAGCTTTCCCCTGCTGCTGCTTTCCTCCCTCGGATCCAGCAGCTTCACTAGTGCTATCGCCAGCCTCTCCTCCACCAGCAGGTGCCTCCTGTACATTTTCTCCATCACCATTCCCCGCAGCTGCCTCCTCTTCCTCCTCCCACACACTAGGAGTCAGGTCCAGCTGCATGGTGATCTGCTCCATCTGCTGGGACACCCTTGCCTCTGGTTGTTTCTCCCAGCTCCCATACATCATGCCCTCAATGAATTTCACATCCCTGCTGTCAAACAACACACCCTTGGATGGTTCCCACAGCAGCCATCCCTTGCTCTCAGCAGCCAGCCCCAAATGCATACACCAGATTGCACTCGCCCCCAACTTACTCCGGTAGGTCTTGGGGACGTGGGCGACTGCCATGCAACCAAACACCCTCAGCATGTCCACTGGCGGCTTCCTCCCAAGCCACCTCTCCAACAGCACCCACGAGTCATTACCAACCTTGGTGAGTACCCTGTTCCTAGCGACGGTAGCGTGCCGGACAGCGTGAGGCCACATGAAGTTTCCAAGCCCAGATTCTATGAGCAGCGCCCTAGCTGTCTCTAGAATAGTCCGGTTCGCCCGTTCTGCTACACCGTTGGACTGTGGGGTATAAGCCGTGGTCAGCTCCCTCTGAATGCCCTGCTTCTTGAGCCATGCCGTCATCTCCACTCCAAGGAACTCACCACCCCGGTCTGTCCTGATCCGCTTCACCACACACTCCGCTTGCTTCTCCACGAACGGCAGCCAATCGTCCCGAATCGTGGAGGCGGCGTCTCCGCGTCGTCGGCCCACGACGAGTGGGTGGGACTCTAAGAGACAGAACTAGTGTTGAGACTAAAGTGTTACCTTGTGATGACCACTGATTTGCCTGGTCGTCCGCCCTTTTTGCGTTAGAGTGCCCACTGAGCACAACTGGACCCTGTCCTCCATGCACATGCCCCATGCCCGATGTCTTGCACAAGTAACGCAGTACTCTCTGCGCAGTTGTCTGGTGCTCCTTTCTAAGTCGCCCGGGCGCAACGAAGCGAGCAAAGATGCTGAAAGAGTACGCGATGTGAGGTCGTGTGCACATCATCACGTACATGAGGCAGCCCACAAGCTCTGGATACGGGCCACTCGGCTCTACTGACTCGTCCGAAGGTGGAGCTGAGAGAGAGTGGCCTCTAGGCAGACAAGTCAGCTGTGCCGACGAGAATTGAAAGCCAAAGCTCTGTAGAACCTGGTGCACCATGTGTGACTGGGTTAAAGTGATGGTGCGCAGTGCTCTGTCCCGGATTATCTGTAAGCCAAGATAGCTGCGCAGCTCACCCAGGTCAGTGCAAGTGTGGCTCTTTTGCAGCTCCGTCTTCATTAGGGTCAGCGCCTCAGTGTCGGCAGTAGCAAAGTCCAAGTCGTCGACAAACACGGAGATGTAGAACGGCAGCAGAGTAGGGTCGGTGCGCAGAAACAGTGACGGGTCAGCAGTCGAAGGAGCAAACCCAAGAGCTGCAAGCGTTGTCCCCGGTCTTTCGTGCCACTCGCGGGGCGCCTGGCGGAGACCGTAGACTGGCCGCCGGAGGCTCTACTGGGTACCCTCAGGAAACGACCCAGTGAAGCCAGGTGCGCGACACAGCCAGATCTCCTCGTAAAGGCTGCCCCTGTAAGAACCCTGTGAGGGAGTGCAGCTCGTAGTCACGCTGTGCTGCAACGTACAGTAACCTGCAAATAATATTCATCTTTTGGGTGGGGGAGAAGGTTGCGAAGAAGTTGACCCCCCTGTCGCTGACTGAAGTCGCGAGCAACATAACGCGCCTTGAAGGTAGGCGGAGAACCAGGCGTCCACTTCACTATGAAAATCCACATGCCATCGACTATCAGGAGGAGGAACCTTGTCGACGTAAGTGCCTGTGGACTTCCAGGAAGCCATCTCTGTGTCCATGGCTGCCTGCCACTGAGAGGAGTGCTCACCCGTGATTGCCTCTGCGTACGAGCACGAGGTAGGGATGTCAAGTGCATCCGGGTCTCCCTTAGGGCAAAGCAGCATGGACGCTAAACGGGGTAAAACGGTCGCGAGATACTCGAGCTCAACCTGCCTATCCTTAAGGACGTCACAGCCAAGGGCAAGCTCACCCCCAACGGACGGGGGCCAGTCAGACTCAGACTCAGTAACAAGACTCACGATGCACCCAACAGTTCAATGCCGTAATGAGGAGAAAGTAGCAGTTGGAATGAGGGTGGCCAAATATCTTGTCCAAAAACGGTCCGCTGGGCTTCAATACTTGGCTGCGGTGCAAATGCGTCAAAAGGGCGCGGATGGTGTTGAACCCGAGCGTTTGTTCCTAACCACATTTTCCAATGCCTCGTGTGCCTCTTGTTCATTTGCTGTCTTGGTGAAGGCCATACTACTTTAGAGAGCAAGAAGCAGATTGACCAAGCTTTGAGCTCAGTCGAGTTCGGGTACATTGCACTCTTTTGTGCCGTAAGGGTAATTGTGTTGCAGTGGCGTTTGTTTGCCAAGTTGGGGGAGGAGCAGAGGACCTACCCCTCTTTATTTCAACAGCTAAGGTGCCGTTACACTTGTTAAAAACCCAGTGTTGCACGGCCTCACCAAGCACATGACGGTAAAATGGCACTGGACAAGGAGCACGGTGGACAGGTAAAGTTGAGTTGCACTGTGAGGATCTTAGGATCGAGCTCAGAAGAGAGAATTCGAATTGAATGTTCACCTGGGTACAACACGAGGCTATATATAGGCTCGACACAAGGCCTAATAACAAGGTGTTACGCGAAGGTTCCGAGGGTCGCGAAGCGTCCCGAACAGACCCTTCCTGAATTCGGTAGAAGGCAATTCGGTGGCAACCGAAAAGCCTAGAATTTGGTGCACTCAACCTAGTTCGGTGCCTATAACTATAATAAATATAGTAAAAGCAACGAACCTAGGAAATCTAGCAAAAGCAAGCAAAATAAAGCAAATCTAAGCTAGATAATGCATAATAAAATAAAGGCAAGCTAGCAAAGCCAGCATAAGCCGTCGTACTCTCACACGTCCCCCCCTCAAAGCTGGGTGGCGTGAGATACACCCTGCTTGACAAGATAGTCCTTGAGAGCACGGCGTGCGTTGCCCATATTAGCTTCTGCAACCCAACTGTCCTCAGTGGGGTCGTATCCCTTCCAGCGTATCAGGAACTCGAGGGTCTTGCCACCGCGGCGCCGATGAGTGAGAACGCGCTCGATCTCGTACTCTGGTTCATCCTGCACAAGAACAGGTGGTGGTGGCGGTAGCTGCCGTCCCTGGAACTGTTGGTTGGGGTCCTTGTAGGGCTTCAGTAGCTGAACATGGAAAGCGTTGTGAAGCTTCCACGTATCTGGTAAGCGCAAGCGGTACGTAACTGGTGTCACCTGTGCCTCCACGAGAAATGGACCGCAGAAGCGAGGCCGGAGTTTGGATGGTAGGTGAGACAGGTTCAAGTTGCGCGTGTCAAGAAGCACCTGATCTCCGACTGCTACTAAGTGATCTCGTCGCTGGCGATCGGCATACTGCTTCTGGGAGTTCTGCATCGTGGTGAGACGTCGCTGAGTCTTCTCCCATAGCTGCTGCATGGTGGTGACGAAGTCGTGTGCGGCTTGGACGTGTGCCGGTGTGGTTGGCTGCTGTGGTGTAAGTGGTTCCCGTCCGTAACACAGGAAGAAAGGAGTTTTTCCTGTGGCCGCATGCGAGGCGTTGTTGTAAGCGAACTCTAAGTTCAGTAACTGTGTGTCCCAGTGGCTGATGTCGTCCTTGCAAGCTGTGCGCAGTAACTGTTCAACCACCTGATTGAGTCGCTCTGTCTGTCCGTCAGTCTGGGGATGGTATGCTGAAGACATCGCAAGCTTAGTCCCCAACAGTCCCATAAGCTCCTTCCAGAACTTACTAGTGAACTTGGGATCTCTGTCTGAGATGAGTGTAGCGGGGATGCCGTGGATGGTGATGATGCGGTCGAAGAAGAGTCGAGCAGTTGCTTCAGCTGTAGCTGTGGCGTTGGTCGGTATGAAGTGACCCATTTTGGAGAACTTGTCGATGACTACGAGGATGGAATCGTGTCCTCGTGAGGTCGAAGGAAGTCCCGTGATGAAGTCGAGGCTAACGACCTGCCATGGCTGCTCCGGTACGGGTAGAGGCTGAAGTAACCCTGCTTTCTTCTGCTTGCTACTCTTCATCCGCTGGCACGTGTCGCAGGAGGTGACGAACTGCTGCACGTCTGCTGCCATCCCGGGCCAGTAGTAATACTTCGCTATTCCCGCTAACGTCTTGTTGCTCCCGAAATGTCCCGCGTATGGTACGTCATGAAACTCCTCCAATAGGATCTGCCGTAGCGGGGCGTAATTCGGTACCCAAATCTTTCCTGAACCCTTCCTTACCGCTAAGTCTTTCTCCCACTATAACAGCTTCTGTTTTTTCATGTCTGTCAGTTCGGTCGGACTCAGTCGGTATGGTGCACGTGAGACGGGTTTCGCACCTGGTTCCTCCACGATCTCGTGTTCGTGGGTGCGTGCAGGAGGTACGCCTGCAGGTAGGTCGTCGGGCATTATATCTTTGTACTGCTCCAAGACCTCCTTCACTGCTGCGGGTAGCTCGGAACCCGGTTTCACCTCTTCTGCTGCTGCCATAACCAGTGCTAAGTAACCCGTGTTACTCTCATTCACCGTCCGTTCGAACCGTGCCAGTGTCGTTTCAGGAACGTCCCCTGTATCCGTCCAGCTTCTCAGCTCCACTCGTTTCCCGTTGTTGTAGATGCACACCTTTCTGTTGACCCAGTTGATCTCGGGGTTGAACCGCTTCAGGAAATCTCGCCCCAAGATGAAATCTAAACCCTTGATGTTCGTGATCGGCAACGTCGGCTTCCATCGTAACGCACCTATATGCAGCTGCAGTGATGCTTCACCGTGGATGGGAAGCTTCGTACCGTCCACCATCGTTGCTGAAAACCGGGTCTCTTCCGACTTCTCTCCAATTTTCTCCAACGTCCCGCGGTCACACACCGAGTGGGACGCACCGCTGTCCACCAGTGCCTGGAGGCGTCGCCCGTTGCAGATCACCTCGAGGAGTAGTGGCTGCTGCTGCTCCGAGTAGCCGTAGATGGTCTCGCTTACAGGATCATAGGGTACGTCGAATATGTCATCCCTAGGTCCTGCGCTCGAAGCTGCTGACTGAATATCAGTCTTCAATTGAGAAGGGTTGGAAGGATTTATCCGAGGCCGATTCAGCTTCGTCTTGGCCTGGAACCTTCCCCTAAGCCGTTGCAGCTGTGTAGGCTTCTCCTGTGGGCAATGGGGAGCCTTAACACTGTGCTGCGGGGAGAGAATATTAACTCCTTGGAACGCACGACCCTTTTCAACGCTCCGGAGTGGTTTGCCCAACTTCTCAGGTACTTGTATAATCTCTGAAGGCTTTTTCTTAGCCTCTAAATCTCCCCTGAAGGCTTGAAAATCACGAGAAGTAATATTCTTAGTTAAAGTATCTTTGTAGGATAACTTTAACGAATTCTTACTTTCGTGGGTGTTCGGCTGGAGTTTCCCGGTCGGTGCAGAGTCTTGTTTCGCGGAGCCTCCATTTGTCTCGGCGATTTCCCCTGGTGCCGGCCGGTCGTGACGTTTTAAATTCGCGCCATCATGTCCTCCTTTTTTCGCCCGCTCCGAAGTCGCCACGTTTGTTGACTTCGGGGGTGCTGCACTGTTGTTGCACTGTAGCGCTGCTCGTGCCTTCTTCATTTTCCAACACGCCAAGAGTCGATGTCTCGCTGCGCCGCAAAAGTCGCATTTTGTCGGCCGCTGCTTCGTGTCGAATGATCTGTTCGCCACGTGGCGTCGTGTCTCGGGTTGACCTCCTGTCAACGCATCGAATCTCTCTGCTGCACACACCATGTCGCGGTAGTTGTTGTAGTTCGCAGTAATCACCTGTCGTTGTACTTCCATTTTTAGCCCCTCAGTATACGCTTAGATTTTTCCCCCTTCTGTCAAGTCGGTAATACGGTTGAAGAGGCTCTCCATCTGCTGCGTGTACTGTGTTACACTGCCGTACTGTTTGTGCCGATGAATCTGCTGCCGCGCCATGTAGCTGGAATTGATCGGTTCGAAACGTTGAATTAAAGCTGCCCGAAACTGCGTCCATGACCCCTCGCCTCGGATCTCCTTACTGTTGTAAATCCACTCGAGCGCCGGGCCTCGTAACAGTGTTGCTGCGAGCCGAATCCTCATTGCATCGTGTGTCGGGGTCGTACAGCCAACGGCCTCGAAATAAATTTCGAGTGTCGCAATGAATCGACGGACGTCGGCGTCTCTCGCATTCGGATTAAACGCCTCCGGTATCCTCGGACGTGCCGCCTCAAGATTCATTCTGGCTTCTGGTTGGTGAACTGTCAGTGTCGCCGCTGCTGCTGCTATCGTCGCTGCAGTATTCGCTGCTACGTCTGCTGCTGCTGTGGCGGCTGCCGACTGGTTCGCGAGGAGCTCCTCTAATCGCTGGAGTGCCGCTCGCATCTGGTCCAGGTCGGTGCGTAACTCCGTAATTTTTCGTACGGAATTATCACCATTTTCCTCCATTTGGCGATTTACAGGAAGATTTGCGACAGAAATAATTAAAAACTAGGCGCCGGTCGACTTACTGCGAATAAAATCGACTGTAGAAATGTCGAGCGCCGTTTCTGCTAGCCGCATAATTCTCCCTTAGCCGAAATTCGCGTCAGATCTCGGCCGTTCAGCTACAATTCGATCCGACGCCCCAAATTCCAACTTTTTTGGGCGAAATTCTGAGGGCCGTTGATGTCGAAATCGATCCGACGGCTGAAATTCCAACTTTTTTGCCAAAGGACCTGAGGAGTGTTCGAAAACCGGTTCGAGGGGGACGATTAAAACTAGCGCGGAATTGGTGTGCGTACCCGAAATCGGCGCGTTCGTCGTCGCCCCCGCGGTTTTAAAAGCTACGATTTAGCGGTCGAAAAACTCGCGTGTAAACAGGCTCTGATTACCAAGTGTGAGGATCTTAGGATCCTGCTAAGAAAAGAGAATTCGAATTGAATGTTCACCTGGGTACAACACGAGGCTATATATAGGCTCGACACAAGGCCTAGTAACCAGGTGTTATGCGAAGGTTCCGAGGGTCGCGAAGCGTCCCGAACAGAGCCTTCCCGAACCCGGTAGAAGGCAATTCGGTGGCAACCGAAAAGCCTAGAATTCGGTGCACTCAACCTAGTTCGGTGCCTATAACTATAATAAATATAGTAAAAGCAACGAACCTAGGAAATCTAGCAAAAGCAAGCAAAATAAAGCAAAGCTAAGCTAGATAATGCATAATAAAATAAAGGCAAGCTAGCAAAGCCAGCATAAGCCGTCGTACTCTCACATGCACCACGTGAAGACGACGGTGCAGCTAGCTGAAATAATGACCAAGAGGCTGAGCAACATTGGTAATTTTGCAAGCTGGTTGGAATGACTATAAGCTGAGAGGAGCATATCTTAAGGGCAACTGTTGGAAACAATAAAACTTAAGCGCTTCAGTCGTGTCGAAAACACCGCATCAGAAGCGAGGCAAACTACACCGAAGCACCCGCGAGTCAACCCTCGGGGGTTGAAGAGGTTGCTGGAGGTTACGCGAAAGTCAAAGGTCAGCGATCTTTGACCCGACAAGTACAGCGCGACAGTTAAGGACATACAACTGACTCGCTACAGAGCAGTTGCCCGAGTCGTACTGTATCGAACCGCAACAGCAACAGCAAAAGCAGTTATAACTGTATCCCTTGATATTTCCTACATTATTATATATTCTTGTACTCTCTTGATATAATCAATCTACTTTGCCCTCACATACTAGCGCAAGGTGGTTCACAATTTCTTCACTGAAAGCTTCCGCTATTACAATTGTCCTATCCAGAGTTCTCCCCTGAAAAGATCCTAAGGGGCTATCTCAGCCCAACATGGTATGAGAGCAGTCAGGGGAAACTCTACCACTTCCAAATCAAAGACATTACAAGACATGGCAACAAACAAGGAGAGGAGCTCTTCTAATGGCTCCCCGGGCACTACTCCTACACCACCTCCTGCCTCTGGCCTGCAGACAGAGGAAGGCACGGCAACAAGACCTAGGGGAACGTCCACCGAGACTCTCACAAATCGCCCCACGGGCTTCGACCAGAGCATGATGGAGAAGTTCTTCTCCTTCATGTCCTTCTACGAGCAGCACCAGCAGTCGGGACCTGCACAGACACACAACAGCAACAACGGAGTGACGCCCATGAGCCTTGATGGGTCGTCATACGCGCGCGGAAATCAACAGCAGCAACCTACCTTCGCCCCGTACGAACGCGGGTCAATCAGCTTCATGCCGCAGTCTTCGCCTGCACAAGACAAATCACTGGACGCGTTACAAGTACAGTCGCAGTTCGCACACGTTTTGAAGCTTCGAATGTCAAGACCATTCGACGGAGAAACTTCTTCACCTGGTCCTTTGAGTTCGAGTTGATGATGGAGGGCGCGCAGATACTTGGCTTCTTCGACGGGTCCCTGCAATACCCAGCAAACGGCACACAGTATGAGAAGCAGCAGTACACGTATCAATCGATGATGGCGTATACGATCCTACTGAGGAACGTAACACCAACTCAACAGCAGAACATTCGCTCTTACCGGGCCTTCGGCAACTCGGCGGAACTCGCGTACAACCATCTGAAGAACCTGTACCAAGCAACAGACAGTGTAAATCAGAGCAGGTTAATGGCGCAGCTGACAACAGTTGAGATGAAACCAGGAGAGAAAGGAATGGCATATATCAGTCGATGTCGCGAACTGCGCGACAAGCTTCTTCGATGTGGAGGATCAATCTCTGAGGACGCCTTCGTGACGGTCATCATCGGCGGCCTTGGTCCTCAGTGGCGCGCAACAAAGGCCATACTCCGAGCCCACGGACGAATCTCTGAGGCAGCACTCTGCGCCGAAATCCACGCCGAACAGCAGGACATGGATCTGCAAGAAGAACGACACAGGAAGAAGACGACAACGTCAGAGTTCGCATTTCACACCCAACGACAACACAACAACTACAGCAACAGACAACAACGACCGAAGCCAGTACCTCCCTTCTGTCACATCTGCAAGACTTCAGGGCACCCGCGCACGCACTGCCCGAATCGTCAACAGTCAACGACCCCGCAACGACACCTTCGACCTTCAAGCAGTCAAATTGCGTCAACGCAAGCGAATCCAACGACCCAGATCCAAGCTTCAACGACCTCAACGGGACAACCTGCGCAAGGAGCAAGAAACATCGTTAGCTGCATGGCAAGACTGAGTGACTCTTGCGTCATGGATTCACCACCTCATTACTCACCGGAAGAACAACTCGACAACACCACACCTCGTCGCGAAGCACTTCAACCAAATCCGACATACGCTGCCATCGCCCAAAACGAGCCATCCGGAAAAGACACGTGGTTCTTGGACAGTTGCTGCGGACAACACATGCTTCGTACAGAGAGAGTATCAGCTTCAACGAGAGGTCGTCATCACCGTCGCCAATAATCAAAGCCTGCGCACACGACGACAAGGAATTGTACAACTTCAGTCACGGGAGACAAACGTCATTCTGCAAATGTCCAAGGTTTTAATTGCAGAAGGCCTCGGATACAACCTTCTCAGTGTGAGTCAGTTGATGGCGAAAGGCATCCACCTCGAAGCAGACAGCACTACCCAAGAATTCAAGTTGTACCACGGGAGAGGAGGTCTTTACATCGGGAAGGCAGTCCTTAAAAACAATGTCTTCGTCTTGGACTTCGTTCCTGATCTCGGCACCGCTGACAGTGACGCCATAGTCAACTTTACGAACTGGACACATGTTGGTGTAAGGGCCTAATAAACTCAAGCTATTAGGACTTAATCAAACTTAAAACCTCTCCTCGGGGTCACCTCCAAGGGTCCCTGGGTGGCTGGTACAAGACCAGCCCCTATCCTCGGGTCCGAGTTTGTAGAGAGAGGGATCAAGAAGGACTTAGTCAAAACAGCAAGAGCACCTTGAACGTCGCGCAGCGTGCCGTGCAGACCGTCGATCGGATTAAGCTGAGAATTCGCTATATCGAAGCTCGCTCCAAGAGCTTTAAAATGAGCCAAGTTGCCTCGCGAAAAGTTCTGCCATTACTAAGTTATGGCTCGGACAACGTTTGCCTAGCGTTGGAGTGCTAGCATACTAGCGTTGACTCGGGTAGCATTCCGCCGTCGAATAGCGCAGAAACGAAATTCCAGCGAGGAAGGAATTCGCTTGAATCAATTTTTACTATATTCAGGTACAAACAGAGAAGGATTAAATAGTTCTAGCTAGCAAGGACCTTGGGAATCAACCTGGGAACAACCAGGGATGATCCCAAATAATTCCAAGCAACAGAACCAACCTGGCTGGACAAAATAGCAGGTGGTAGGTTGGTAAACAACCAGGTTCAGGTTCAGGTTCAGGTTCAGGTTCAGGTTCTGTTTTTCCAACCTGGGAAAACAACAACCAGGTTCAGGTTCTAAAAACAGAACCTGTTTTGTCTTTGCCCAACCAGCCAAATGCTGGTTCCGCTGGTTTCCCCTGGCCTTGTAGCATGCAGATACAGACAAACAACATCCAACCTTCATCTAAATTGTACCCCTATAGTGCCTTCCCTGCTACACTATAGTTAACCAAACAAAACAGTACAATTCCGAGTTGGATAGAACTGAATCTGCGAAATCAACTCAACCGAACTGCAAAGCTTCCATCTTGGGTTCCTTTGCGAGCTCGTCCTTTCTGCTTGCACTGTTCATAGCGCATACAATGTTGTGCCGAAGCGCACATTGCGCGAGTACCTGCAAATGCATCAAGCGAAAAATGCGAAAGCAAACAAACACACAAACACACCATTCACACGCAAATGCATTCGCACACGCATACTCGTACAAACAGACGGCAGGATGTCGTGCAATGTGCATTTGCACCCAACACACTCCCCCTCAGCCTGCCGGCTGCATCCCCGTCATTCCATGCTAGTTCATGCTCATTCCACTCATGCGCACACAACGCCAATGAGGCTCATCCGCAAGCCTCTTGGTGAGAAAGTCTGCTGGCTGCTGGTGAGTCTTGATGTAGATCGGATGCACCGTCCCCCTCTTCACCTCCTTACGCAGCCAGTGCCACTTGATACGCATGTGCTTGTTCAGCCCATGAAGCACAGCGTTTCTGGCCATCCCAAGAGCCCCCTTGCTATCACAAAACAGCGGCGTAGCAACTTTCTGCTCCTGGCCAATCTCCTCTAACAGCCTCCTCAGCCAAATCACCTCCTTCACCCCATGGAACATCGCCATGTACTCTGATTCTACGGAAGAGAGTGCCGTCTCCGTCTGCTTCTTGGACCTCCAACTAACAGGTCCTCCCCCAACTACGCAGATGTATCCTCCCACAGATGAGGAATCCTCCTTCTCAGAAGCCCACGTAGCATCGGTAAAGCAAGTGAGAAATAGCTTGCCTTCTCCAAGCCTCTCCCCCTTCTCTTTCAGCACCTCCACCCCTTTCTGCTTCACCTGTGCAGATGCGGAATATT